GAAATGTGCTAGTCTTCCACGCAAAAATCTGAAATGTGCTAGTCTTCGACGCGAATAGTGAAACGTGCTAGTCTTCCACGGTAATTTGAGATGTGCTACTCTTCGTTGGGAGCGACGATATGTATTTCTATATAAAGAAGATAGTAGGATAAAAATTCAAATCGATACCATATCAACTTCTGTACTCACATTAAACAAAATTGGCTATGAAAAGAATCTCCTCGAGCAGCGCGAGACAAAACTATGTTGTAGAAAAGGTGAATTAATTTCCTCCCAGTTCTCCGAACTGACGTTTAAATATAAATATTTTCCGTCTATCTGGCGAAATCAACTACAGTTGCATTACTTTGACCGCCTTTTTGTATCATTTGTATGCCCCTTCACAAAGGAGGGAAGTTATTGGACCAGTTGCCCGCAACAGAAAATACATTGAAATGTCAATAAAAATAAGAACTGATTTCCTGGGAGTTATTTGGCAACGTTCCAAATATACCTAAAATTGTGTGTTTGTAACGAATGCACTTTCAAACTAAATAAAGGTACGATTGTACCAACTTTTCCATCACTGTAGGTAATCCAGCAGCTGATTTCGCATCGCTAATTGCGCATATGTGTGAACACAAAACTCAATTCCGCAATTGCCTCAGCTAGTTGGCCTGTTTGAACATAGTCTAACAAGGGACGAATTTTATATGGCTAAAACTATGTTCACATATCAATATTACCTCAATCAAAGCTCGTTTTTTAATCGCACCGTTCACACAGGCAAATCTCAGATTATTAGCCGTCAAATTTGTAGTGCTTGTTATTCTCACATCTCAAGGAAAAGTTATTTTTTTTTCTCTGTGCCACCGTGATCACGTTTTTCTGCTATATTGAGCAATATAGATATATTTTAACTTAACATTTTATTAAAAAAAATACCTTTAGAACCCTCTTTTCCTTGCCAGCGTCCATTTTTGTTTACTTTTACATTTGCCATTTCTCCTCTTCTTCGCAAAAACAATCGATAAAACTAGGATGGACACCGAAAAGTTATCGGTTAAATCTGAAATTATTTTATAATTACAGATTAACACGGGAGGAATTTTATATGGCTAATCTCTTTTTCTATCTACAGATTAGGAAGTTAAGCTCGAAAATGAAGATAATCTACTTATATGTGAACCTAGTATAATCTCTTGTTATAATTACAGATTAGGGTGTTAAGCTCGAAAATGAGGATAATCTATTTATATGTGAACCTACTATAAAACTACCTAGTAGAAGTCTGAAATGCGACTATGAATAGAAGTGAATTTTAAGTTGGTACTTAAATTTAATTTGCAACTTTATTAGTTTCGACTTAGGGTCTGTGCCAAATGATAGAAAAGATGAAATTTTGACGGATCAAAGTAAAAATCTGAAATTTCTCGTGGTGAATACGAACGTCAGAATTTTACCTAGCTCATGGGGCTAGGTAAAATTTTGACAGCTTATAACCATGTATACACATAATATTGCTTGGCGGTAATAAAGAGTGAATATGAAAATGAAAGCTTAAACAGCAAAAAAAGCGCAAGTCACTTGCAAATTATAAAATAAATATAAATTATAAGAATTTTAGCATCACACAACAACAAAGCTTTCGCCCGAGCGTTTTGTTGGTTTTTCAACTGTCAAAATTTTACTTTGCATTTGGCACAGCAAAATTCAAATTTTTTGTACTACACCATAGCAAATTTTTACACCCCGTGTCACCACGGAGAAAAAAGTTACCGATTGGCACAGGCCCTTAGTGGCTGGACTTGAATACGCGCCATTGAAGCGACTAGTTGAAAGACCGTTTACACCAGGCGATTGTTACTTTCAACTAAAAATTGCTTGAAAAATCGCCTCATGTAAATTCCTTATAAAGCCCAGCCAAATGCGTTTTAAAATGCTGATTACAATAAAACACAATTTTAATCGA